GACAAGTTTATGTAAATAAATGATGTTTGATGAAAATTTTTGTTCCCTGTTCAAATTTTTTTAGGTGATAATTTTTAATTGTGAAACAAAAAATAAAAACAATGTAGACTTAAACAGATGAGTGTTAGTAGGGAAAGTTTTAAGGAATTTTCTCAGGAAAATTTTCATTTTCTTCTTCAATATACAAAGATAAAGAAGAAGATGGTGAAAGAATCCTGGAAGATTGACGGTGAGTGAGGAGAAAAAATTACTGAATGAATTTTCAGAAAAAAAATAATTAAATTTTTTTTTTGTGAAAAAAGTTTCCTGGAATTTTTCGTTTGAATTATTTTTTCCAGAAAAAAATTCCGGGAAATTTTCTCGAATGAATCCTTTTCAACCATATTTATTCATCATCATTGAATCATCATTGATGAAAAAAAAAATGATGTTTCATCGATGATCCAAGTGCAAAACAAAAAAAATGAACTGAACTGAAACACAACGTGTGTGTCACATCTGCGTTTGTCATTCGAAGAAATATTGATGTCAAACGAAAACAAAAAAAAACACAGAATCGAAATACATTTGCAGAATCCGAATGAGAGATTTTTCATTTCAATTTCTTACATTCTTTACTCCCGAAATGTACCAAAAAAATGACAAATTCTGTTTGGCTGGCTGGCTGGTGTGAAACATATGCACAAACTCATTCAAAAAGATTTTCATATTTTTTTTTCAATCCTATTTATAAACAACATTAAGATTTTCTCTCATCTTTGGTAACGGAATTAAGAAAGTGTAATTTTTGAGCTTTGTTAAGTGTGTGTGTTTGTTGTTTGTTTGTTTGTTATACGGTCAACAACAACAACAACAAGATGTTATTATTATGTAATTTCAAAATTAGATCAATCAAGTATGTGAATCCAGGAAATTCTGTTCGTTAACCTTTTGATTGTCGAATAGAGAATTCAACGAAAAAAAGCAAAATTTGAAATAAAGAATAATTCAAAGATTTGCGAATCTATTCTTTATTTTCCTTTTGAATGATTTTTTTTTGGTTGCGATGGGTGCGATTATTATTCTTTGATCAAATCAAAAAAAAAAAATTTCACCAGAAAATTCAATGACAAGAATGACAGCCAACAGCTGTCTCATAGAAACCAAACTGAAACTAAATCAAATCAAATCAAAGAAACGACTATGAAGTTCATATTCAGTTTTTTTTTGTTTGATATATTCTTTCACACACACAATCAGAAAAAAAAATTATCTGAGAAAAAGAATCTATCTCGCAACAGCAAAAATGATGGTAACTAGAATCAAATCATCACAATGTCAAATGAAACAAAAAAAAATTCAAAGATTTTAAATTCCTGAATAAACTTTTGGTTCATTCAATCAGTAATTTGAAAATAAAACAAAAAATTCAAATGTGAAATGTCAAATGAATGGATCTAAAATAACACTGGGCACACCAAATAAATGAATGAATGAATGATGACATTAACTACCACCATAATAATTCTGTATGTATGTATGTATGAAACGAAAACAAGCTAACAAAAAACATGTTCAATAAACATATTTTTCTGCTTGTTTGCAAAACAAAAACACAGAGAAACAAAAATCTAACGAAAAAAAAACGTGATTCATTTCCAAAGTTGTATCAACAACAAAATGATCGGTTGTTTTTTTCACACTTTCCAAGAAAAAAAAATAGGAATTGAGAACAGAAAAAATATATATGTCCATATTGAAATCTCAATGATATTCTTGTATTGATGATGATGATGAT